CAGAATCTAAAAAAGGTCCATACATTGCATTTGGTTGATATGTCTGATGAATCTATTTTAATCCATAACAGTGCCCGTCTTTTATTTCTTGCCTTTATTTGTCAATAAAGGTCATTATCTTCTAGAATTTTCCCTGTTCTTAGTTTAGATTCTTGTATTTATATAGTGTACGACTTTTGTAATAAGGAAGGTGGGGAGAGTTAGAATGCAAATGATGTCAGGTCCAAGACTATTGGCTGACAGCAATAGGAAGTTAGGGGGAAGTAATCAACAATGAGGGACCACCGAGGTGAAGTCTTTGGCCATCTCTGGAAAGGAGTTGACATTCAAAGACAAAGTCTTAAATGGAGCTGTGCCAACTCCAGTCCATTTCCAGGAGGGGGTTACAGAGATTAGTGGTTAAAGGAAAGGACTGGGGGAGTGGGAGCCTGGTCGTAGCTGTACATGTAAGAATAGTAGGCAAAAGTAAAGCTCGCACAGGAATTGACTGAAAACAACTAGGGAAGAATATCAGCAAGGCCCAGAACAGAGGGATAAACCTGACCTGAACGCACTAGGTGGATGTTATTGGAACACAGAGTAGGTGCCTTTTTTCTCCCCATTGTCACCTCTGGGTACCAATGTTCTAGGGGGGTAGAAGAGACACCCAATACCTAGGATATCTGGTAGCAGGCATCTAGATAAGTAGGACCTGTCCTTGTTGGGAGGGGTAGGTAGATGGCTGCTACCTGATAATGTTGGAGTATGACACCTTCACTGCCAGCAGAGACCAGCAGAAAGGACAGTTTTGAAACACTGTTAGTTTATAGGGTGGGGCCTCTTGCCCGCTTCGCATCCATTTCAGTAAAGAGGTGGAGTAACCTATAGATTCTTAACAATTTTTTTTCTTTGTAAATAGGATGGGCCTCAGTCCCAGTAAAACTGATAACTTATTAAATTGAAGAATTAGGTACAATTTGGTTCAAACAAATTGAATTACTTGTGACCTCTCAGAAAGTTTATAGATATATAAATACAGGCTGAACAAAGTTAACTGGAATAATCTATACTAGTAATATATAATCTTTTATACGTTAAAAGATACAAAGAAATAAGTCATTTGAACATTCTGCAGTGAAATAATAGTTTTATCAAGAAAGTATTATAGAAGTAAGTATATTTTGAATATTATCATGAGGTTGAGGGAAAGAAAGATAGTAAAGCTTTGGTTAAATAAAGTTATCATTTCTTTGCATTACAGTTACCACAATTTTAGAAATTTAAGGGATTATGTGTTCTATGTTTCCCATGTTTACATAATTGTGATAACAGCCTTTTATACACTCTCCTAAAATTGAAATGAAAAACACATTTACAACCTGGAAAGCATAGTCTAGGTAGCCATCAGAAAGAAATGGCTTCTTTTAAAAATTTATGTGTTTAGGGTGCCCTCTGAGCTTAATTAAAACTCAGGAGTCAATCCTTACACCTGAGCATAAATTTATAACTATTTCCAGAGATGATGTTAAAAGTCAGCATGCACCTAACTTTGAATAGGCAATGTGGGTGGAAAGAGTAGGCAGAGCTTTTCACTAAGACTTAATTGTCCTTAACCTGTGAATACATAATTACATAATTCATTATGATGAACTTTCATGTGGGAAAGTTCTATGGTGGGAATCATTAATTCTTCATAGTTATGTGAAAAAAGTATATAATTCTGTTTTTTATTATTCTAAATCATGATCTCCTAAATATACGTTAATGCCTTAGTCTGATTATTAATGAAATATCTTCATTGGTACATTATGCAAATTTGAACTAAGAATGTCATTATGAAGAAAAACACTTAAAATGCTACACCAGTACAGTTATTTAAAAAGAGAATACCAACAAAATATTAACACAGTTTTGCCTATATGGATGAGAACAGAGAAAAAAACGGAAATGTTTAGTGTTTTTGCTTTTAAGGGCATATATTAGATGGAGATAATAATACAAATGGGTGACATACTTGGTCTGATGAGGTCTATTTAATAGTAGGTGTAAGTGAGAATCTGGTTAGACTTATTCTGCTGTTAGGCATCTGAAAGATTATTTTTTTTCTTTTAAAAATATAGAAATAGGACTTCCCCGGTGGTGCAGTGGTTAAGAATCTGCCTGCCAATGCAGGGGACATGGGTTCGAGCCCTGGTCCGGGAAGATCCCACATGCCGCGGAACAACTAAGCCCGTGTACCACAACTACTGAGCCTGTGCTTTAAAGCCCACGAGCCACAACTACTGAAGCCCACGTGCCTAGAGCCCATGCTCTGCAACAAGAGAAGCCACTGCAATGAGAAGCCTGCGCACCACAACGAAGACCCAATGCAGCCAAAAATAAATAAATAAATAAATTTATTTAAAAAAAAAAAAATATATATATAGGGCTTCCCTGGTGGCGCAGTGGTTGATAGTCCGCCTGCCGATGCAGGGGACACGGGTTCGTGCCCCAGTCCAGGAAGATCCCACATGCCGTGGAGCGGCTGGGCCTGTGAGCCATGGCCGCTAAGCCTGTGCGTCCAGAGCCTGTGGCCCGCAACAGGAGAGGCCACAACAGTGAGAGGCCCGCGTAACGCAAAAAACAAACAAAAAAACAAACAAAAAACATATATATATATATATATAAATAATTTTAACAATTCTTATTGTTTTGCATAGTCAATAGTTTTTAGATTTATGTAAATATTTGCCACTTTCAATGCTTTTCCTTTAGTCTCAACCCTCAAACCTCCCATTTAGGATCATTTTATTTTTGTCTGAAGAAAGAAAATTTCTTTAGACTTTGTTAGTGAGAATCTATTAGCAGGGAACTCTGCTCTTTCCTGAAAATGCCTTTATTTTTGCCTCTTTCTTGAAATATCTTTTCACTGGGTATTGAATTCTAGGCTGACAGTCATTTTCTTTCAGCCCATTGAATATATTATTTCATTGTCTTTTGGTTTCTATTGTTACTGATGAAAAGTCACATCACTTTTGAGGATAATCTGTAGTTTTTTCCTCTACTACTTTTAAGGTTTTCTCTTTTGTTTTTATTTTCCTAGACTTTCACTATAATGTATCTAAGTGTGGATTTATTATTCTTTAACTTGCTTGGGATTTGAGAGACTTCCTAAGTCTGTGGATTGGAGTCTTTCATAAGTTCTGTAAAGTTCTCATCCACTATTTTGTCAAATATTGCCTCTGGCCCATTTTCTCTTTCCTATTCTTCTGGAGCTATAATTAGAATTATTTTAGATCTTCTCACAATGTCTTCCATGTCACTTAGAGCCTCTTTTATATTTTTCATTTATTTTTCTTTTTCTGTTGCATTTGGGATAATTTTTTCATCTTTATCTCCCAGTTCACTAGATAGTATTTCTGCTGTGTCAAATAGACTATTAAACTTGCCCACTGAATTTTAAATTTTAATAATTTATTTTTTTAAATTCATTAAGTTCAATTTTTTCAAGTATCTTTAGTCATTCTTGTTTTCTGTATATATTTTCAAGCTTGTTTTTTATTCCTTTATTCTTATTTTATATTTTTTATAGTCTGTGGCTGGTAATTTCAGTATCTGTAGCCCTTTTTAATCTGTTTCTGCTGTCTTATATTTCTACTGTTTCTCACTAATGGTGTTTTTCTTCTGTGCTTGTTATTCTTTAAAATGTGAGCTGCTAATTTTCCTCAGAATTTTATTTATAACCATTCTTTAAGGCTTAAGATGAAGGTGCATTCCTTCAGAGAGGATTGGCATTTGCTTCTGCCAGCTGCCTGAGAGCACAATAATTCAAAATTATTCTTAATTAACTTATCAGCTTAAGGTGGTTTGGGATCACCCAGATAGTATGAATTCAAGTTACGTTTTTGTGTGAGAGCTGGATTGAGTCCAAATTCTGAGATATGATTTTGCTTTTCCCTTGATCATAGGTGCTAACATTTAAGATAGTAAATTTTCTTTGTAGACTTGGGGATGGGTGTGTATGCTAGCAAGGGGCAAGTCTATTTCTAACATCTTTATTCTGAATGAATAATCCTTGGAACCAAAGCTTTCTCCCCCCACGCCCCACTCTGTGTAGGGCAGGTTATGGGTTTTGTCTCTTATAAGACCACGAAAACGTCATGTTAACTGGGTTTGGCAAATGCCCATGGGGTAAAGGCTGGCTTTAGGATCTGCTCAACTCTCTAGGTTTCTGTCTTCATTTAATTTTCTTGACCTAATAATTTCTTACTTTATTGCCAGTTAATCAATATATTTAATAAGGTTAAAAAATATTTTTCCAGGTATTTATTTGTTTTCAGTGTGATCACTGACTGAGGTACCTATTCCATGATATTGCCAGAAACAAAGCCTATATTCTTCTTTAAAGTTTATTATCCAAATTTTCCTGGAGGGATATTTGGTTAAGATAAATAATAGTAAACAAAAATGCTTAAAATCAATATGCAAATATTTTGCAAGCAAATCTGTAGATTTTATAAAGAGTTTCTTTTTAATATAAATTTTAGTTGAATGTTTATCAAATATGTGGTTGACTGTTTTGTAGATGTGTATTATTTTGTTTTATTAAATAGAAGTTTGAATACTGTTCTATAGTGCATTTAGCCTTTGAACCACTAATCTGCTGGCTCATATTCACTTTAGGTGATCTGCCAGGTTATACTATATAACAATTTCAAAAATCTCTGTGACTTAAAACAATAAATATTTATGTTTTACTCTTGTTTCGTGTTAGTAGCTGCAGGTCAGTTGCTGCAGTACTGCTCCAGGGTAAAGGTCAGTTTCAGGTCTGCTCCACATATTTTCTTATTCTGAGACCCTATTTGGAACATGCTTTTCTCATGGTAGGCAGCACAAGACTAACAGATTGCCCTGAATGTTGCACTAAAACTTAAAGATGTTAGCATGTGTCACGTCTGCTCACAAACAATTGGCTAGAGCAAGTCATTATGACCAAGAATAATAAAACAATCTACCATAGTCTTCAAAATTATGTTAAATACCTTATTTATGTTTTAGGTTGCTCTCAATCCAGTCTTCTTAGAACAAATGAGGATTTTAACCTAAAATCCTCATCAGCAATCTTTGGCAATGTAAGTGTCTAAACGGAAGGCTAAAGGAAAAAAAACAAAAAACCCTTAAGCCAAATTTCTTACATTCTAGGTCAGAGTTTTCTGTGGGAAAGATTATCATGCCTGTCAGTGCTTAAACTGATTTGGAAAAAAGAACTTTTCAATCTTAGAAATGTATAATTAATTAAACACCAGGTAAAGAGATGAATTTTCAGTGGAGTTTAAATTGGATAGTTATAATAAAAAGTTTTAGTTTAATATGCTATTCTTAAAATCATTTAAGAGTAGCAAACTTGCAGGGCCTCTCTTCACATAACAAATGGAAGTTATTGAATATTTTTCAGTTACAGTGCAAGATCACATATTACAATTTCTGCTTATGTTGTGATTACATTGAAAATGCTAGACTGAATGATTATTTCCTGGAATCATAGAATACCAGATTTGAAAGGATCTGAAAAGCATATATTTTTCAACTGTAGTGTATTGATATGCCATTTTGCTGCAATCAATTGTGAGGTATGTTAAAATCATTAGTTATTCATGACAAGTAACTATTACTAGCGACAGTTAAAATACAGAATATTATTAAAGATATACTTGAAACCCAGCAGAGCCCTGTGGGGCCTTCCCAGGGACAGATCCCCGAGTCCCCTCCCCCACTCTTGTTTATAGAAAAGCTTTTGCCTCCTAGGCCTTCCCCAAGTTCCAAAGAGCAAATTTAATCTGAGAAGTGAGAAAATGCAGAAACAAAGGAAAACAGTCAAGCACAACAAAATAATAATTGTTTAGCCATAAAACAAAGTCAAGGCCTTTAGTTCCTCCTCAAGGGCTATAGATAATATCCTGAGCCATATCCTTGAGTTGTTTTGCAGAAACTAAAGCGTGTACCAGGCGGAAGAAGTTAACTGCTGACCACAAGCACACAGACCCCAGACTGGTTGGAAGCAAAAGGATGATGTGTTGACTCCCAAAATAACCACCCTGTTACCTCACCACCAACCAGTCAGAAGGATGTCCACAAGCTGATCAGGCACCCTGAGACCCTCTCCCTCACCTTGCCTTTAAAAACCCTTCCCTGAAAGCCATTGTGAAAGATATACTTGGGTCTTTTCAGCATGAGCTCCTCCTTCTCTTTGCTTGGTCCCATATTGGGCATCTTGCAGTAAACTCTGTACTTTCCTTCACCACAACTTGGTGTTAATGAGTGGCTTTACTATGTGCCAGCGAGGGCACCCAAGTCTGATTCTGCAATATACTTACACTTGTCTTCCTATAATATCTTCACTTTCACTTACTTGCATTCTGATTTTGTGTGTGTGGGTGTGGGTGTGGGTGTGTGTGTCTGAAAGGAGTTATAGCTAGTTTGAAAAGAATTTGCATAATCCTGTGTACACCATGGCTACTTGTTTCAAATGTGAACATTATCCCCTGGAAATAAAGATTGAGCATCATTCCTTAAAGAGCATGTAGTCAACTTCCTACTTTTATTAGAACTTGAAATACAGAGAGTAATTTATCTAGCCACATATCTAGTTAGTTACGTCTATAATCTAGGCCTCCTTGATTCCAGTACAGTGCTTTCCATTTCAATAAATGACCATTTGTTTTCGTCAGACAGTATAAGAAAGTGGGGTTGAGGCATTAGAGGATTAGGCAAGGCAATTCATCTACTTCTAATCTTTAGTCTTAGTTCCCAAAGTAAAGGAAAAGCACCAGACAAACGGAGCCCAGATGGTATATTTTGCATGTTATCTATGCTCTAGGAACATTCTTTTTGAAATCTATTTGATCACAACTCACAATAAGAAATACAGTTTAAATCACAACACAGGACATACGCACCCTCCCCCATAACTGAAACAGAAGTTTCACAAAGAATTCTTCTCCTTATTATATGTGCACTCTGATCTTCCATTTTTGATTCCAGTCTAGCCTATTTCACTAAAAAAAAAAATTGACTTTTGAGCCAGTTTGAAAACCCCTGTCCTAGAAAATAGAAGGCAGGCTTCAATCTGCTGACAAACTCCAAAATTACTAGCTTTGCTGAAATTGTGTCATTCACAGAATACTAAACCTCCTTCATATGTATTTGAACTACAAGTACAATCTCTCAAACTTCAGAACAGAGCCTATAGAATCTTTTCCTCACTGGAACACCAGTTCATTACAATATCTCATAGATTCTAAGACTCATTGTTTTTCATATTTTAACATCTCTGAGTTCAAGATGTGTCTTTAAAAAATCGGTGGCATGGCATAGTTTAATTGGCAGTATTTCTTTTCTTTCTTGGGTAACATGAAATAATGGTAAGACTTAAAGTCCATGATTTCTTAGAGTTTCTATGAAATAGCTTAGTTCATAGGATTATATAGGCCGAACTCTATTGCTTAATTCATCTCAAAGTATCCAGTTGATCAGAATACTTCCTGCCGTCTTAAGAAAATGTAATGAGGAGATGACAATCACTTAAGAAAAAAACTTAGTTCTGGGTTAGAAGGAAAAATGAGTTACAAACTGAGTTTGGTTATTATATAAAGCTTTTTCATGTGCCTTCATTGTTAGCAGAATTTGATTATGATCTTTCTGCTTTTCTACCTACCTTATTTTTGTATTGTTACTGTCTTTTAGTCACTCCCATTTTACTCTTCCTCTCAATAACAGGGTTGGGGGGAGCGTTCCTTGGACTACCGTTAAAAAGGAAGGCAAAAAGTTATGTCCAAAGTTAAGGTACCTGAAAAAAAAAATCAAGAATTAGGCTTTATTTTTTAAAATGGAACGAACTGTCAAATTCCTGTGTAGCAGTTTAAACTGCCACCAACCTAACACATAGTAAAACTTAATGACTGTAAAACTGGCACAAAGGATCCTGAACAGGACCAGGAACCAAATTAAAATTTCTAGGCTATTTGCATCCCAGCGTGAAGGAAATGCACCATCCTCTCCTCAAAAATAAAAAGCTCTCATGAAGAAACCAGTACACTAAATGTCACAATTAACGTGCTACTAGAAATAGGAACAAGTAGTTACTGCTTTCCAAGCCAGACACCACGATGCCTTCTGCTTTTCTTTGTTTGACTAAAACTCTAGTCAAGCCCCAGGCTGGGGAGGCGGGGGCCCCTGCGCCCTACCCGGGAGCTCTCCGGTGCAGCCTCCTTAGATGAGGCAGGGCCCTGCACGACCGGTCCCGAAGACCTCGCCTCAACAGGCGAGGTAGGTTCGCCTCCCGAGACCGCCCCAAGGGGTGCAGAGGCGGTTCGGCGGCGTTCACACTCTGCCTGAACCAGGTGTTGACAGTTGCTCCAGCCCGGCTGTCTCCAGCCAGGCAGAGGAGGGTTCTCCAAGGCCGCCTCCGCGCGTCGTCACGTGACGGGAAGGGGGTGCGACCGGAGCCCGCTAGTAGGGGGCGGGACTGGGGGCGGGGCCTCGAATGTGAAGGATCTCGGAGGCTCTGGATGCCCAAAGAGGTGGCGGCTCGGCCGATGACAGCATTAGGCCGCGACGCGTTCCCGGCCGGGCGGTGGTGGTAGCGGCAGCCCGAGCGGCTGCAGCGTTTGCTTTCGCCGGGGCGGTAGCCGCCGCCGGTAGCCCGCAGACGGAGGGGAAGTGGGGGCCCGCCCTGGCTGGTAGACCGCAGGGCCGGAGTTCCCGCCCTCCTAGCGGGCCGAACGGGCAGTGCCTCCGTGGCGGCCAGGCAGCGCTCTTGGTCTGAGCTCGCGCCCCAGCTGCCGCCGGCGACAGCGGCCGAGAGAAGTTGGGGTTCGATTGGACGCGTGCCGGGCCCCAGAGGAACCGGCCGCCTGCGCCCCGCCTCTCCGGGGGCTCCACACCGGTGAGTGTCGAGCCGGTCCCCGAGTTGGGGGGCGGCGGGTTCGCACCCCTACGGGCGACTGCACCCCTTGACTCCCACGTTCTGAGCTGGGGCGGGCGGGCACTCCGGGCCCCCGCGCCGGGGAGTTTTTCTTTGGCTCCTTTGTCCCCTTTTGGAGTGGGAAATTCCAAAGGCTGGCGGGGATGGAGTGTTTTGGGGCCCACGGTAAGTGCGTCTGCAAACCTTCCAAAGCCGCGGCAGGGGCAGGGGCCGGTACGAGATTTTTGTTGGCCCTGAGTGTGTGCCTCCTCCCGAAGTTTGACTGGGCGGACGGCAGGGTCTCGCCGGAAGCCCCGGCGCCCTGGAGAGCTGGCGCTTTGTCACTTGGTGCCGTTAAGGCGAGGCTCCCGTTTTCCTGTGACAGCCCCAGAGGAGGCTGTGCCGCGCATCGCAGACCTCACCCGCCCTTGCAGAGCCGAGGGCCATGGTGGTTGGTGTTCCTCTAAACCTCAGTTCCTGTGGCCTTCTTGTAGCGTAGGAGGAAGGCGAAGCCTTTGCTGTACTTTTAAATGTAATGTTTTTGAGTGCCTTCTCAAGAATGGAATCAGGTTCCAAGGAGCTTCACAAAGAGCGTGCGTTTGGTTCATTGAGGCATCCGCTCAAGACCGGCCGAGGCGAAGCAACAGTATATGCAGATTTTCCATTCACAAAAGTCATTTAACACCCTTCTTTATGAGAGACATGTGCGGTTGGGGAACATACTTAATTTCATTTTATCTAAATGCTGCCTGAAATAATAGGTAACTTGGGCTCCTACTTAAACAGATGGGGAAATTTACCCAACTGATGATATATGCATGTTTACTTTAAATAATTTAATGAAGTTTTTGCCTTTCTGATGCTGGAAGACGTAAATGACTTCTAAGTAGTATTAGAATGCACTGTGTATGGTAGGGTTATTCGTTTTTAATTAACTTCCCCTGAAAGTTAACCTCAAATTAGTGCCACTTTAGGTCTTTTCAAATAGTCATTTAAAAGGTGTTTTTTGGTTTTTTTTAGTCCCTCCCTTAGGATTCCAAGGATTGTGGAGGAACATGGGTGGAATGCTTGTTAGGTTTCCTCCTTCCGTCCCATCAAGTGTCATCTAAACTTGATCATGCTGAGAGACTAGGATCAATTTCTGTGCTTGCTAGATAGAACCTGTTTTGCAGTGAAATTAAGATCATGCTAGTTTTATGAAACAGGTTGGGGAAGGAAGAGTAAAGGCATGCAATTTGTCCTCTATTAAAAGTACAGAGAATTTCAAATATTTGTTACCCCTTTATTGATAGTAATTATGTATAGAATGACTACCATATGCCTGTTTAAAGTAATGGGAAAGGGAATAGATGAAACATAAGAACTACCTTTTAGGTCTTTAATTATGGAGCTTAAGTTGTTGTGGTCAAATTCCATCTGAACCATTTGAGCTACAATACATTGTACACAGGTGCTTAGAAGTGCCTGTTTAATTAAAAATGGTCATGGTTTATTTCTCTTTCATTGAATCATAATATTTGTTGTAGCTGTGATCTATGAAAAGGTGCTGCTACAATTATTTCAGTTAGAATATTATTACATTTTAGAGACAATCAAATATGTTTCTTACAAAACATTTATGGCACCTATAAATTTGGCAATACCTAGTTTTTAGGTTTCTTTTGAATTGAAAAGCCTTAAAATATACTTTGGAGTAAGTACATATACTGTTTATAATGAAATTATGTTTTAGTTTTGATTTAAGAAAAAAGTGGTAAAATTAACAAAATTTGCATTATAAAAAGGTCTTTCTTTTTAAAGGACTAATTGCATAATTTAACTAGTGAGAGCTCTTAGTACATTTAAACTTGGTTTACAAATAATCCTTCAAGAGCATGTTACTTGAATTGAAGCATGAATGACAAAATAAAGAATTGATACTTAGATGTAGTTTTCTAATATTATTTTGGAAAATCCTTATCCTAATAATACTTGAAGTTTTATATTTTAATATCTATGTTATCGAAAGCTGAACACATTTATAGGGATGATTTTGGAGCATTGGGGGATTTAAAAGTAGAAGACATAGGTGCTATCTTATTCTTATGAATATGACCTACAAATAATACATAAATACAACTTGAATTAAAAAGCCTGTACATACTTCATTAATGAAGGTGCCTGCGTGCAAGGAGATTGAAGTATAGTTTCCTTGTGGTTAGGACACAGGAAGAGATATCTGGACTAATGTGTGAAGATTTCATGTCAATATTTTCTTTCAGGAAATCCCTGAAAGATTTTAGATCTTCCTTCCACCTTGGTCCCCACCCTCTCATATATCCTCTCAAAGGCATGAAGTTGAAGGTCTCATCCAGAACACATGATAGAAGGGATTTTTCCTCCCTGAAAAATGTTATCAAGTTTGCAAGGAGAGCTTTCTTCAGAGACCTTGTAGGAAAGGAGTTCTTGTTCTGAAACATCAAATTCTTCTACCCTATGTTATTCTTACTTTTATTAAAATTGGAAACAATGTAAGCTCTCCATGATAGCAAGGACCATTGACTTTCCAAATGCTTAATAGTCATCGAATAAAAAAATGTAGTTCCAGATGTACAACTGGAGAACAAAGAGGAGTATGTGATAATGTAGTTCAAATTAGATACAAGCAGTGAGGTGACAAAGAAATGATGTTGGCTTGGCAGGAGGGAAGCAGGTCATTTAATCTGGGGAACTTTCTTGGAGGAGGTGATTCTTCATTTAAGTCTTCTGAAAGCTGTATATCTGATGATAAGCAGGTGTTCTAAGAGGGGTAGACAGCATGAACCAAAGCATTTAAATTGGACTGGGTAGTCATGTCAGATTAAACACAGTGAGTCTTTTTTGGTAACATTCTGAAGAATTTTTCTTCTTCCCTCATAACTGTTACCTCTCCCAGATAAAAAGATTGGCACACTTTATAAGAGCTAAAATTTAGAGTAGTTGAGTTTTGGAAGAGACAATGGTACAGTGAAAGCAAGAGCATTGATCTGGGGGTTAGAAAATTTGAATTGGATTTCTGGTTGCATTTTATACAAGCAGGTGTCCTTAGGCAAATCACTGGGCCTTAGTTTTCTCATTTGTAAAAGGAGGAGGATAATCCTTATCCCACAAGGTTGTTGGGGGAATGAGATTACATAATGTATATGAAAGTGCATATTTCAATATTAACACATAGGAGAAATCAAACATCGAATTATTTAAAAACATTTTTTTGTCTTTAGATCTTTAAAAATATTTTCGTGAATTTATCACGAACTCTAAATCTACTTGACCTTTGCATTGATCTATGGTGTTAACCTTTAAATTTATCAGTATCAAAATTCTAGATGCTTAGTTTTCTTTCAGTCAGGCATAATGCTTTCTGATATAAATGAGGCTTAATTGTGTTACTTCTTCATGTTATAAACCGCAAGGAATGGTAGATACCTCAAATATGTAAAGCTTTAAGGGATATGTGTTACTGAAAAATCTGAGCCTTTAGGCTTTGTTCTCTACAGAATTTGCTTTTGAAGAAATTGCCCTTGCCTATCATGCAATCTGTGTATTCATTGTTGTGGAAAAAACAGAGCATTTTCCTACTATTAAGGAAAAAGTTACCAAAAATATCCTTTATATGTTTTTAGTGGTCTGAGTGACTGTAAACCATGAGGAATCTCTATCCGCTGTGCTTTACGTTAGAATTCAATATTTTGTGAGCAGGCTAATAGACTTTTGCATCAACCTATCTAAGCTTTTTGCTCCAGTAGCTGTTTGCCCTTTTATGAATCTCAAAATTTCATTATACTTTGTGAACTCTTTGCAGTGTTTAAATCCATGGAGCAGGCTGTCCTTTGTGTAACATTTGGGAGGGAATTGTACTATAAAAAGACTAAAAAAGAGTCTTGAATCTTCAAACGTAAGCTAGTTACCCACCACCTTCCATATTCACAAAGGCCTGAAAAAAAAAGAGGAAATGTTTTTTGAGCTTCAAGACTCTTTTCAGATAAAAAGGAGAAACTGTTTGATTCAGGGTTGTTAAAAACATGATAGATTCAGAGGGAGATTGATAGTTCCTGAAGGTGTCCTAGTAGGAGTGGTTGGTCATAATAATAATAATAGCTTATACGTGTTGACTGCTAACTATGTATCAGGTACTTGACATATATACTTGACAGTGACCCCCCCCCAGATCAGACTATTTTCTTGTCCTTTTTTAAACCTCAAGCACTGAGAGATTAAGTAGTAGGCCGCAGAGCCAGGATTTGAGCTAAACCTGAGTCACAGGGAGGCTAAGCAGCAGGTGGTGGAGCTTATCAAAAGGATTTGAATTTGAGGTTTAACCTGACCTTTGACATCAGAACCTGTCCTTTTGACTGTCACATTATAATGCCTTGTATAGTTTATTTGCAGTTGCCCCTTGTGACAGGTCTTGACCTTTACGATCTTTCTCAGTCTATCTTGACTTTATGATTTGATGAAAATACAGTTTGTAATAAGATGGCCTCAGTTTTTTTCATTTCATGTGTTTTGACTGACATCCTA